GGAGTGTGATCCCCCTATAGTTGGAGCACACCCTCCGGTCCCCCTTCTTAAAGAGGGGGACCACCACCCCAGTCTGCCAGTCCAGAGGCACTGCCCCCGATGTCCACGCGATGCTGCAGATGTGTGTCAACCAGGAGAGCCCCGCAACATTCAGAGCCTTAAGGAACTCCGGATGGATCTCATCCACCCCTGGGGCCCAGCCACTGAGGAGCTTTTTAACCACCTCAGCGACCTATGCCCCAGAGATACGGGAGTCCACCCCCAAGTCCCCAGACTCTGCTTCCTCATTGGAAGGCGTGTCGGTGGGATTGAGGAGGTCTTCGAAGTATTCCCTCCACTGACCCAAAACGTCACTAGTTGAGGTCAACAGCGCCCCATCCCCACCATAAACAGTGTTGATGCTGCACCGCTTTCCTGCCCTGAGTTGTCCATGTTGGTCTCCATGGCCTTGCCAAACTCCTCCCACACCCGAGTTTTTGCCTCAGAGACCGCCGAAGCCACATTCCGCTTGGCCTGCTGGTACCTGTCAGCTGCCTCTGGAGTCCCACAGGCTAAAAAGGTCCGATAGGACTCCTTCAGCTTGACGGCATCCCTCACCACCGGTGTCCACCAGCGGGTTTGGGGATTGCCGCCATGACAGGCACTGACTACCTTACGGCCACAGCTCCGGTCAGCCGCCTCCACAATGGAGGCGCAGAACATGGCCCATTTGGACAGGGGATTCCGGCAGATGTTCCCAGCAGACCCTCACTATACGCTTGGGCCTACCAGGCCTGACCGGCTTCCTCCCCAACCAGCGGAGCCAACCCACAATCAGGTGGTAATCAGTTGACATCTCCGCCCCTCTCTTCACCCGAATGTCCAATAAATGCAGCCGCAAGTCTGATGACGCGACCACAAAGTTGATCATTGAAGTGCACATATGGACACCCTTATGTTTGAACATGGTGTTTGTTATGGAAAATCCATGATGAGCACAGAAGTCCAATAACAAAACACCGCTCGGGTTCAGGGGGGCGTTCCTCCCAATCACGCCACTCCAGGTGCAGAAAAATGAACCTGGAGAAGTCCCCAAGCAGATGCTCTCCGACACCCCTTCCAAGGTTTGCAGATGCACTCTGAACTGACGCTGCCGTTGTGTGTTCGCCGCTTCTCCGCCAAAAGAGTAAAGGAGACCACTTATATATGTGATGCGAATCGTCGTGCCTTCCTCCTCGACTAGCGCGATGCTAAGCTATTCGGATGCAGACCTCCTGAGCCTCAACAACAGCAACGTCCCTGTGGATCCTCTGGACATCCTCACCATCAAACGGCTGGGTCCCCTTCCCCGACATCCGTATGTCCACAGAATTTCCCGGAGAAAGTTTATCCTCCATTGAGACAGGGCTCTCCATACCGGTCATCTGGTCAGCTGGATGTTCCGGCGCTCGGCGATTATGCCATCAGAACACTGCGGCTTTTGGGATTTGTAGTCCCGATATCGCTACAGTGGCTCCTGTGGCTCTTCGGATGCAGAAAGTAAAACATGGAGTGGATTTTAATCTTCTCAGGACTTTTAAAGGACATATGGCAACGCCTCATCTTCATTCAGGAGCACATCAAGGACAAGGATTTGGATATCATGTGCCTCACAGAGACCTGGCATCAGCCAAATAGTTTTTCTGTCCTGAATGAGGCCTGTCCACCTGGATATAATTATCTTCAAAGAGCACAAAGCTCAGGTCGTGGCAGTGGCTTAGCCGTCATTTTTAAAGGTCATTTGGGCCTTTGTCCTGCACCTTTGCCTGTGTTGTCCTCCTTTGAGTACTTGGCCTTCTCCTCCAAACCACTGCACTCAATGATAGTACTTCTTATCTACAGGCCCCCTAAATATTGTCCCTCCTAATCTCTCTGAGATGTCAGAGACCTCACGTCATCCAATATGCTCATACTGGGGGATCTCAACATTCATGTTGATACTCCCACCAATTATCAAACTGCTGAATTCCTTCAACTGCTGGACTGCTTGGACTTGGAACAACAGGTCAAATCTTCAACACACTCTCGAGAACACACCCTGGACTTAGTCATCATGAACTCTCTATCTGTGCATCAACTCTCTATATATGACCTGGGTGTGTCAGATCACGAAGCCATTTACATGGAGTTTCCCTTCCAGAACTCTCTTATGAAGCCAAAGCGGCAGATTTCCTTTCGAAATCTAAAAACCATTAACCCTGAACTTCTTTCAGCTGATCTTAAGGACCACCTACCTGTTTCCATACCAATCTCCACTTCTACAGTGGATTACTACAACTCCACCCTCTCCACCATCTTGGACCGCCACGCTCCCACCAAAACGAGGACAGTTGCCTTTTTGTGCTCAGCTCCATGGTTTACACCCGAGCCAAGGAAAATAAAGGCAGCTGGTCGAGCGCTTGAGAGACACTTTTTAGCTGCTAGTCCACAAGCTAGCTTACCAGGAACACCGCAAACTATATGCAAGGGCCCTCAAAGATGCTCAATCACATTTTTACTCATCCATAATCTCTAATAACCTGGGTAACTCCAAAACTCTTTTTTCTACCATCACTCATCTCCTCCAGCCTCGAACACCATCACTCACCGACCCCACTAATGACCTCTGTAATAAATTCATCTCCTTCTTTCAAAATAAGATCCTAACAATCCGCTCTTCATTTGCAACACCCCTCACTGCACACACCACTGGTGCCAACACACTGTTACGGAACCCTTCCCTCTTTTGCTCCTTTCCTCAGGTCTGTGTGAAGGAGGTTGAGGCCGCTGTTAGGGCCATGAAACCCTCCACGTGCGCTCTTGACCCCTTCCCAACAGTCCTGGTCAAGGCAAATATGGCCTCTCTCGGCCCCCTTATTACTACCATCATCAACCAATCCCTTCAGTCTGGTTATGTTCCCTCCACTCTGAAATCAGCCATAATCCAACCCCTCCTTAAAAAGCCTAACCTGGACCTTCAAGACCTGGTAAATTACAGACCCATTTCCAACCTCCCCTTCCTTTCGAAAGTTCTGGAAAAAGTGGTTTCAGTTCATCTTCAAGGACACCTATACGACAATAAAATTCTGGACAAATTTCAATCTGGCTTCCGCTCCGCACCCAGCACCGAAACAGCCTTGATCCGGGTCACAAATGACCTATTGATCACCGCAGACCGCGGCTCCTCCTCTCTCCTCGTCCTTCTGGACCACCACATCCTCCTCCACCACCTACAACACCTTGCAGGGTTCACTGGTACTACCCTGGATTGGTTTAAGTCATACCTCACAGACAGATCTGAGTTCGTCTCCATTGGACATGCTAAATCATTGAGCCATCCTGTCACCTGTGGTGTTCCTCAGGGATCAGTATTGGGGCCCATTCTTTTTAACCAGTACATGGCTCCACTTGGGCACATCATCAGCAGCTACGGGGTCTCATTCCACTGCTACGCCGATGATAACCAGCTCTACTTGAAGCTGGGTAGCAATGTGTCTGAGGTCCCTCCCACTTCATCAGTCCCTTCAACATCTTTGCCCCCCTCTCCCCCCACACTCACCGCCTGTCTGGATGAGATAAAGGCATGGATGGAGCAAAATTTCCTTCATCTTAACAACTCAAAAACTGAAGTACTCAAATTAGCACTCCACACCAAATTCAACAACAAAAAATGTATGTCTTTTTCCGGTCAAAACATCTCTTTCTAAAACAGTCACCAACTTTGGTATTATTTTTGACCGTCAACTCACTTTTGAAAGCCATATCAAGCACATTTGCAAAATCTCCTTTTTCCATCTCAGAAACATACAAAAACTTCAGTATGTTCAGAACTGCACTGCCAGTGTCCTGATGAGAGTGAGGAAACATGAGCACATCACCCCCATGCTCCGTTCACTTCACTGGCTTCCCGTTTCTGCCTGGATCAGCTACAAAATCTCCCTGCTTACCTTCCAATGTCTGCATGGTAATGCGCCTGCATACTTAAAACTCCTCACCCCCCACTGTCACCCACGCACTCTCCGCTCTACCAATGCACACCTTCTCCTCCCTCCCAGGACTCCCGTACAACTGGAGATAGGGCCTTTTCCTGTGCTGCCCCACGGCTGTGGAATGCCCTACCTCCACATTTGAGGGCTCCACAGACTGTGACATGTTTTAAAAAAAAGCCTGAAAACGTTTCTTTTTAGCCAATGTTATTAATGATTACTTTAATGTTTAAATGTTTTATTCCTCTTTTTAATGCTGTTTTTAATGTACTATTTTTTCACTGTCTGTATGCCCTTTGAGATTTTCTTTGTAAAATGTAAAGTGCATTATAAATAAAATTTATTATTATTATTATTATAATTCCAAGGACTCCAAAAAGGGTGGGTATTCTGTAACTGCCGCTTGGTGCATAAGCGCAAACAACAGTCAGGACCTGTCCACCCACCCGAAGGCAAAGGGAGGCTACCCTCTCGTCCACTGCTGTAAACCCCAAAGTACAGGCGCTCAGCCAGGGGGCAATAAGTATGCCCACCCCCGCTTGGCGCCTCTCCCCATGAGCAACTCCAGAGTTCCTGAGCCCAAGCCGTGCGTCGAGGTGAGCCCGACTACATCTAGTCGGAACCTCACAACCTTGCGTACCAGCTCAGGCTCCTTCCCCTCCCAGAGAGGTAACATTCCATGTCCCTAGAGCTAGCTTCTGCAGCCGAGGATCAGACTGCCAAGGTCCCCACCTTCGGCCACTGCCCAAATCGTACTGCACCCGACCCCTTTGGCCCCTCCTACAGGTGGTGAGCCCATTGGTGGGGGGATATGCAGACAGATAACTCATAATATTATACATTGTTGTACCAGTTTGATATTTATTTAGATATTTCATTTACGTAGTTCTGTTGAGTTCAGACCTTGTAAAAACTCACCTGGAGGAAAGTAGTGTAGTAAACTCTCAAAACACCTAAAAACAACCTTCAACTAATGAAGCCTTCACTACAATGGAGAGCACAGGGTGAAACACCCACCTGCTGGTCTAAGTACTCCAGGTTCCTCTGAAGCTGGAGGTCTAAGATGTCCTTCTGGGGCAAGCATAGCAGCAGTAGTCACAGGCAAAAAAAGATAGTAAGAAATAGGGGTGAAAGGAAACACAGAAAACCATCCCGAAGCAAACACACAGGCCACAGGGGCAGTGTCTCTAATTATCCCAAGTGTACAAGCTCTACTAGCTAAACTGCATGTTTGGCAGAGCTATATCAACTTTAATCTTCTGGCGTCCATATGTAACTGTATTATCCAAAACATACAGTGTGGCCAAAAATGATCTGTACACTGCGAAAAAAATAGTCAAAATGGAAACAAAATTGAGGATATTGATTGTGAAATTTCATGATTCTTCTCAATGGATTGGGTATTTCAGCAGTTTTACTCATGTTGGGAAACTTAACTAACCCTAAAAATGCTTGTGCTAAGAAGGCACATTAAAGCTACTTGTAGAACCTAAGGGCACCCAATTACCTGCCTATTTGGAACACCTGCTATTATGTGTTATGTTAAATGACCTATTACAACTGGGAACTCTTCCTATTCTCACATATTCGTTCAACTCTATGAATGGCCAGGTGTACAAACAATTGTTTGAAGGCAATAAATGACATCATTTGAAAACAATTCCAGAATATGTTTTGAATATTTTTTTTCTTGTTTCTTCACATAACACACATTGATGTAACATTTTAGACAGTTTATTCTTCAATATCCTCAGTTTCATAATTTTTTTTAACCATTTTTCAGTGTATAAATAGCTTTTGGTTACACTGTACACTAGTAAATAGGGAACATACCATTTTGTCATGCAGAGAAGGTGAACCAGGGTACTTGTAATGATACATTCCTTGGCTAGTGGACCGTCTGTCTCTGGCATACTCATACTGAGAGAAAGACGGAAAGTGACAGCATATATGAATGTTTGCATGTACAATTAAACATGTTAAAATCTATTTTAAATAAATAATTAATTGATTTTGGTAAATCCACAAGGTACAGAAAACAGGACTAGGAAACAAATATAGAGGGTGAGTTGTACCTTGGGTGAGCTGATTGACCTTCTGAGGCCATAAATGGAAGGGTCAGCATAAATGGGATCTTCCCGGTGTCGCCCTGGGCCACGGTCAAAGGGAGCACTGGGAGAGCGGACTGGTGATGGGAAGTTGCGAGGCCCGGGGGAGTATGGCCCTGGGGAGGAGGCGGAGGGCGACCGTGGCACAGAGCGTGAGCGTGGTTGCATGGACAGGCTTCGCAAGGACGTTTCAGCTGACTCCAGCTGGCCATGATAGTAGCCTGGGGGAGGGACAGGTGGGGCAGCTGCCCACTGGGGCTCACGCCCATAGAGGGGTCCATCCATCAGAGAGCGCCTGCGTTCTTCAGTTGCCCACCGGGGTGATAGCTTATCAAACCCAGCTATCACGGAGCAGATGCTCTCAGGCCGTATGCCTGGGGGATACAAGGGGCACTCTTCGACGTAAGGGGAGCCACTGTACACTCCGTAGTATTCAGGAGCCATGCCTCGGTTCACTGTGTAGAAGTGAGAAGGACTATGGGAGGAGATATCAGGTGGATTAGAAATTATCTGAGCTGTAAAGGAGGGTCTCCATCACCATGACAGCTTTATACTTTCACTGGAAGGACCCCTTCCAGGTAAGACCAGGGCTTTAGCAGCTGCTAAATAACGATGGGCATGGTTGATAAATAAGTGATAAGTGAGAGGCATTGTCCTCTATATTTAAAGATTCAGTGCTCTAGATATGCAGATAGGCAGCTGAACCATTAAACACTCTTCACTGTAAACTATGTATGGAAAGAAAATATTTAGGTCCGTTGCAAAGATCATATGGTTTTCTTCAATGCATAAAACATCTATCAATACATAAATGCATATTTGTAATCTTCAAAAAGACATCACTACTCATCAAAAAAGCAATACCTGCGCATATCCTCCTGTGCAGTCATGCTCCTACGCTGGTTCACCCATTGCTGCAGCTGTGTCATGGAGCTTTTTCTCTGTGCCATCCTCTCTGATTGTGTCCTTGGCACAAATCCCCTGCGCAGCACTGTGTTTTCCTTCTGATCATGTGATTCCTGTGGTTGGAAGGCTGGGTCATGGGGAGACTCAGATTTTCCCCACCCATTTGGTTGAAAGCCACTGTCTCTACTGTTTAAGTCTGGGGTCCGCAGTGTGGTGGGGCTGGTGGTCTCTTTGGATTCCACATTATTGACCCCAGGCTTAGCATCCTGCCGATTTGCCTTCCTGGATTCCATCCTCTGGTTGTTGCCCTCGCCATGCTGGTGAAGCTCTGCTCCTTTAGTCACCGCCATGGTGTTCCCTCCTGCTGGAGGGATGTTCTCCGAGTTGTTCCTGCTGGAATGAATGCAGCTTACACAAGAGCAGTAATAGCAACCATAATTTGGGTGTCACCCTCATAAAAGGCTTACATCATTCATTTTTATATATAGAAATATTATTATTATGATTCATGTATGTATGATGTATAGGTTTGGAAAAAATAATGGAGACACAGCATAAAGAACTTTAATTCTGAAGTGACCGAATCGCAATTGCAAATTAAGCTACGAAGGTGAGTCATATTAGGCTGAATGCCTACAAGCAGTTTGTATCAAAAAGGTATGATAATTAGCACCAGAAATTAAGTTTTCAAAGCAACATGAGGCAATATACAAAATGCATAATCTGGTGTACGAAGCACTAAACGTCAACCCCTGAGCAATTGAAAATTATCAGTCGGCAGATTGTCTATAGCAGTGGTTCACAGCAGTGGCTCTTCATATGAACCATATGAAGAGTTTAAAAATATGTGTGTGTGTGCTTTAACAGCATCAGAAATGTAGGCCAGATGGCTGATCTGAAATCTGTCTTGATTTGTATGTAGCCTAAACCTATTTCCCTGACAAAGGCGATGATCACCGGTTAATCACTGACAGATAATGACTCCACGTTGCTTCTGATTTCATTGATTACCAATAATATTGTCATATTGCCAAGTCTATTAAGTCTTGGAACAAGCATGCTACATGCTAATTCGCTCACTGATCCTGATGAGATTGACTCCTTAGCTATAGAAATTTTGTACCCAATGATAAGACATTTTTCGATACACGATAGTATCTAAACAACTTGGTAGGTGCTATAAAAGTATCGAAGGTTTGGTACCCAGCATTAATCTATTTATTCCATTGATTGTTCTATGTACGGTAGTTCATTGGGGGTGGGGTTATGTAAGCACAGTACCTCAGAACAGGCACAAAATGCACGCACGCTGCCTCACTCATGGCGTGCACCCAGTCCTCTTGCTCTTCTGTGCTGTCAGCACTGAAGTAGTAGGTGCGGGTGCCGGCGTGCTCAGCCTGCAGACAGAAGCCCAAGCTCCCATTACTATTTGCCTCCTTCTGTTCCACTTCACAAAAGACCTGAGGGGGTATGGGGAAGAGAAAAAGAAGGAACAGATGGGTTTTCAGTAATGCAAGAAAAAAGATTAAAACGATATACACCATATTTAACTTCAAAGACCACAAAGCATGCACTGCATACAATATCCTAAGTGGCCCTTGACTTATTTTTAGATAATTTTAGATTTATTTATACATTTACTAAATTAATAGCATTATTAGAAAATTATTGTGAGTAGTGATTATAAATTATTATAAATTATGTAATTTATACATATTCAATTATGCAATACACAATACACAGTCTCATTCAGTTTCAGTACAGTGGAACATGAGACATAAAAACTGCTTCTATACTTGAATTACTTATTGGCTTTATACATCATTAGTAGTATTAGTAAAAAAGTCTTTATCTGATTTTTTCGTAAAACCTATTCACAAAGTGGCTGAGAGCAACTTTTAGTTAGGAAAGAGCCAGTTCCTAAGCTAAAAGTAAGACTCTATCACTATGGCTGACGTGAGTTCTCATGCATGAGCTATAACCAAGGGAACTGGGTGATGAGAGGCCAGTATGTGCTAGTGAAAATATACGTACAACATCCTATAAACACAAATACAGTAGAAACCCCTTATAGTGGCCATGGTTATAGTGGTCGACTGCTTACAAAAAGCTTGGGACAGAATCATTCCTGTAAAAATGCTGTTTAAATAATTGCTTATTACTGTAATCAAGTAGTCCACTTACAGTGTTCATTTTTGGTCTTTTTAGACATGACATGTGGAAAAACAATTAAATTATTATTATTTTTTTTTAAATCAAGCCAACAAAATGCAGCAGCCAAATTATAATAATGTATATTTTATGTACAGTACTGTATTATAGCAAATATGAATTATACACAATTCAATAATTTCATTTGTGCAGTACTCAGTTCTTGAAGTGGGAAAAAATAAGTGCAGGAACTCTAATTTTCCGACATTTGACATTTGTGCGGTGAAAAAAAAAATCAAGTCTTTAGGATGTGTTGGTTCAAAAACTATTTTAATTTAATCATTCTTCCAAGCAATAACCTATAGGCATAGGCTACTTTTTTCTAATTCACAAATGGAATACTGAAAAAACATTAAAACAACATGTAGTATTTTATCGGTCTTGTTATATTGTCTATTCTCGGGCCACTGTCGCTGTGTCGGATCAGTTTCAGTAAGTACTGGAACGCAGAAAAAAGTGGCGGAACCCAAAAGACGAAAATACAGAAGTTCCGGAACTGCGTTCCGCTGTGTTCCGGCCCACTTCAAGCACTGGCAGTACTGTAATTTGAAAAGTGTCTGAAACAGCTCTACTGTATTTTGAATGAGTCAATAAAATTCAGTATATAGTGACACTGTCAGTTTTATTACCTTATGTTCATGTAAAGAAAAGAAAAAAAAATTGGTTATAATAATCATCCACTTAGAGTGATCAATGTCACCTAGACAGACGTGATCACTATAAGTGGTTTCTACTGAATATGACTGTGTTGTTTCGGTTTATTGGAGATGTTATTGCATCCCTCAAAAGCTCCACAACAATCATTATTTCCCCCTGACTGAGGCAGTATTCTTTAAGTAATTCAGCGTTCGTTTAATGTTTCCTAGATGTTGCAACATGGATTGACAGCAGCCATTTTGCAACTGTTTGAGAATTGGTCTTAGTGACTTAGGATTTCTCTTGATTACTTTTAGCACTAAGGGGCTTTGTGAATAACTCTTAGTAAAAAAAACACTTAGGAGTCCTACATTTAGGACTGACACGCCAATTGTTTTTTAGAAGTAGGAGAGGTAAGGAGTGTGCACTGATAACAATTCATTGCCACACCCACCAAACGACAAACCAACTCAGGGATGAGAACCTGAGTGCAGCCATGTGACAGGCGATACCTCAGCATCACACTAGTCCGAATGGACAAGTGTGAGTTTTTTTCTGGTGGCTGGAGTGCCAATCCTGCCACCAACCCTCAAGTTTTTCCCTGTAAGTTGGAGGACCTCCTTATAAGGCTGGATGTATATTAACGTCATACCCAGGAGGATTTTTAGAAGTCTTCTAAATAGGCAAGTTAGGAACTACTTTTAGCCTTAAGATACTTTGCGAATATGGGCCCTGGTCAAAAAGTATACCCCAATTTAGCAGTGATTTCTTCAGTAATATATTCAGCTGGGATTTCTTAAAACACACAGTACTTGAGGGGGGACATGATCCAGGTCTATAAGATTCTAACAGGTTTGGATGCTGTTCAACCAAACAGTTACTTCAGCATTAGTTCAAATACAAGAACTCGTGGTCATAGGTGGAAATTAGCGGGAGAACATTTCAAACTGGATTTAAGGAAGCACTTCTTTACACAGCGTGTAGTCAGAGTATGGAATAGTCTTCCTGATAACGTAGTGCAAGCTGAATCCTTGGGTTCCTTTAAATCAGAGCTAGATAAGATTTTAACAACTCTGAGCTATTAGTTAAGTTCTCCCCAAGCGAGCTCGATGGGCCGAATGGCCTCCTCTCGTTTGTATAGTTCTTGTGTTCTTATGTTCTTATGTACTTAGTAACTGGATACATAACTTTCAGTGAATGGTGGATGGTTTTGCTTAAAGTGAAGATTTAATTTAAACTATTAAATTTAAACCTTTAAGTGTTTGAAATTCCATAATTTTGGTTTCAGTAATTTAAGTTGTAATGGTAAGGCTGTTAGTGTAGAGGATTAGATAGGTTCTGTGGAAAGCAGGGGGGATACCTGATAGTTAAATGCAGGATTCAGGGGGAACAGGCAAGAATCACTGAGGTTAAACGGAATAATCTTAAGTTATCTATCTATCCATCCATCCATCCATCCATCCATCCATACATTTCAAATTGGATTGCTGCTTCTCAAAAAATTCAACAGAACCACAGCTCTTGTCTGAGACCCATGAATCGAGCAGGCTGTTGAGCAGGCATGCATCTACAGTATGAAGCAGAGGAAACATGTGATACACTACTTACAATAAGGGAAGTCATCTGGAAACAAGCAGAATGATGTACTGGAGCCCTCAGGAGCGCTCAGACACATGAGTAAACAGGAAAAAAGGAAGGCAGAGTAAAGGATCAAAGGTCAGTTGTCAGAAAGTCAACCTAACAAGGAAGGTGTTGACCAGGGATAATGAAGGATGAGTTTATGTATTTTGTGTTCATTTTTCTAGAAGCAAAAATAATGAATATATTACATGACATTACAATACACATTTCTCAATATTCTCGTTATACCACTTTCTTTGCTGGTTTTTGATCCAAAAAGATAATTAAGTTACAAAAAAAGATCTCAGCTTTCATTAACAGTTCAAAGAAAGCATACACAAATAATGTTACTCATAAATTTACACAGATAAATATTGTTATATGTTTTGTTTCTTTCCCTTTCCAAGAAAAATAACCCCAAAACATTTTTACTAGAATTAGTAACCCAAACATACAAAAATACAAAAGGGTTTCACAGAAACAGTGCTGAGGGCCATTGATTTAATTCTATCCATCTGACACAAAGCTCCAATCGGGTTCCTGAGCATCAAAAAATATCAGAATATTATTGGTATAGATTATATAAATATTTACTGTAGTTACAAGATACTCCATAAGGTGGTAGTAGAACTACTTTTTGAAAATAGCATGGGAACTATCTTGCTGTTGGGTAATCATAGCTGGGGTCACTGCCATGAAGCCAAAGGATATGAGCCAGAGTAAACAAACAATGTTTATCCACTGCAAGTCTCAGTCTGTGCAAAACAAATATATTACACAACATTGATTAAAATGAAGGAAGCAAAGTAAATTCATGACATTTTGAGACATTATGTACAGGTAACTACTAAAGCGATGACCTGACTATTCAAGCACACACATACGGTAAGCGTCCTTTAGGTTTTGCCATTCAGACATATTGACATCATGCACATTGCCTGGTTAGCGTTTGCAGTTTTAAAAATAATAAATAATTTGAAAACAAATTCATTTTTCCCCACTATACCAAAATTGCACAAACAGGGTTTGTACCACTGCATGATTTTTGTGTTCCATAACAGCCCTATTCACATTTTTAACAGAATGTGAAATTCATTTTGTGGGCTGTAAAGAACTGAGCTGTGGGCTGGATATGGCCTGTAGGAAATAAAGTTTTGAATTGGAATAGTGTTTGATCACTACCTGCACATGAATGGTGGTAAATGTTGCCTGTTCACACAATCTCCTGCATTTGCAGCATGAGTTCCATGGTATTATCATGAAATATTTAGACAATTATATTACATTGTTATAAAAAATGTGATAGCCCATCAACTTTTACGTAATAAATGAAACCCTGCAATTTGGTGGAATTATCCTTTAATTCTCCTCAGAGGTTAGTATATATAGTAATATATAGTAGCCTTTTAAGTGCTAAAATATTTTGTAGGAAGCTCAACATGCAGTTGCTTTGATAATGTGTTCGGCATCTCCTATATTATACAAGAGACTTCAAGTAGGACAAAAATAGAGGGCAACATATAAAGTTTGTAAAGATATAAGTGCAAATCTACAGTGTGATTTTTTTTAAATGAGATGATGAAAATGGGTGTTCAAATAAATAAGATAAACTTTAATCAAATCAAATTAAACTTTACTGATCTCAAGGGAATATTTTCAAGAAAGACTTTCATACTGTGTATAAAATGCTACCCATCATCAAAATCAATGTTCTCAACACTGTGTACTCTTTGTCCCAGCTGCAGTAATTAACAAAAAAAGATTATACTGTGCTTAATCAATTCATGAAAATATAACTTTCAATGAGACATTATCACCAGAGAAAACATCTTGTTTCCATACAAAACTGGCATTTTTGCTGGCATTTTGGTAAATCAATCTAGGCAGTGAAAGGGCTGTGCTATTCCCAATCCAATTAACTTGTGAAGACTCAAATGATACTGCACAGGTTAAACATTTGTATAAAAGCCCTTTGTATCACCACCAAGAACTACTTACTAATGTCTGATGCCAGTTGAGACGAGCGTTTTGAATGTTTAAAAATAACTGTGAATCTGCTTAAGCCAGAAACACAGTAGAACTGTGTTATGCTTTTAGATACAGTAAGCTCCTGCCATGATGGACACTGTCTACATTCAAAGATATCACATAGCTGTTCTGTTTTCTAATAAACAATGTACATGACATTAAGAAATCCGTCACTACTTTTTTTTGTAGGAGGAATAGTCGAATAGTCATCCAGTCAAATGGTCAATTCTGTATACAAATGTGAGACATGAGAGCTGTCTGTTGATGGACTAACAGATTCTGCACTGTCATTGTGATTTCTTTTTTTTTTTTTATCTGGGTTACACAGTCACATGGAATAGAATAAGCTATACAAATACAGTAACAGCATTGTAAAGGCCTGGCAAGCACCTTTTTTGGTTAAACTTCAATTGACCAAATTGTTGCATTATATCTTCCCAGTGCTGTTTCAGCATCATTCAAAAGCAGATATTTTCCTTCCAGAGATACCGTGTGTCCATCTTCTTCTCTCTACCTTCAATCAACTGTAACTCAATAGCAAGAGCATGAGTTTTTTATTTATTGACATTACTTGTCAATCACACTATGCATGACAACAATAGTCATAAAAACCTCATGAAAACAGTGATGTGCAAATTTGACATATGCTCTTTTTAAGCTGCATGCTTAAAAAGCTACTTGCAGCTCATCAATCTCATTCCATTTATGGCATCAATGTGTTAGTCATTCATAAAAGTCCAGACAATATTTGGCTGAGGTAAAAAGACAGAAAAGGAAGTTATTTATCTTTGCTGATATAACTGTTCATCATCAATTTGTCTGCCTCTTCAGTATGCACAAAAGCATCTGCTAAATAAGATAACTGTAAATTTAACCAAAGTAACCCCCCCCCCCCACAATTCACTGGCCTTTCCTTCTATAACACACACATGGACAAGCTCTTAAATAGACCTGAGCTATAAACCTATAAAGATAAACCTGAACTGACTCTGTTGTTTGTCTTTCTGTACATATGAGGCTCTTCCTTGCCATCAGGTATTAAATGATGCATGGCCTCAGGGAATACCCATTTATGAATAATAATAATAATAATAATAATAATCTGACACATTCCTTGAATCTAACAAACAGGTTGTTGACACACAAAGTGCAGGAGTAATTTTTCAGAGTCACCCCTGGTAGATTTAACTGACCTGGGTTGCGGGGGGGTTGGGGTCCCCCTCGGTAGATTTACAGTAAATGACCTGGGCCAGAAAGAGGGTTGGGGTCCACCTTTGCAAACCCCTGGTTACTAAGATAAATAATACATTTTTAAAGGCAAGTACATGTTTAAGGTCAGGTGAAAATGTATGTACTTTGGTGACAGACAAATATAGATTAAACACTAAAACTCCTCTATAAACACAAATGGGATTTTACTGATTACCGTTATTAAACTATTATAATAATACAGCCTGTTTTTAGCTTTGTTCAATAACTGCAAAGTGAAAAGAGGATGGGATAAGACACACTCTTTAGCCTGTTATGTAATGCTGTTCATCAATATTCAAGTGCTGTTATTCTAAGGAGAATCACTGGAGGCTTGGTGAGGCGAGTTGTAATTGCGAAACCACAGCCTGTCCATGAGCATGGATGCAGCAAGAAACTACAGCATCAGTACACAATTCGGACATCTCAGAATCCAGGCCTAGCACAGCTTGCTTTTCACAACATGAAAACATGAAAACACTTTGAGATCTGGGAGAGAACCATCATTTATAGACAAAAGCCTCAAAAAAATCATATGGCGAAGGCTGGCCAACCAAATAACCTTATTTTTCAAAGCACTGATACAGAGATGCACATGTGTTCTATATGTTATGGGAATTCTATTTTCATCAGAAGGCATATAGTACATCAAAAAATCAACTAATGATAAAAAAGAGCTTACTGACAAAAGAATAAACACATTCCACATATAACAAACATTTTGTTTACAGAAAAAAAAATTTCATGAATGTCTCAGGGAAAAAATTAAAGCACATAAAGTATAAGTTTTGAGTCTGAAAAGTCAGTTATAATATTAAATTATCAGGGTAGGATTGAATATCAGTATTACAAGCAATTCAGTCTTAATGCAGAAAGCATAAACAAAAAAATATAGAATATAAGACAATTATAGTTACTTTAATTGAAATGGAAGTCAAATGCAATTTTTTTAGAGTCATATTTCCACCTACTGCTTTTGAAGATTACATTACTGGCAATGCAACCCACAGCTCAACCCATGTAGTAGCTGTTTCACAAGACATGCACTGGGTTACCACTCTCCGTTTAATTATTTACAAGAGCTGGGAAAGGGCCTGTTTTTAAGCTCTACAACTCGGAGCCACTTTAATTTCCTGAGATGAAAAAAGATACCATAATAACTGCAATACCTATAGTGAAATAACATAAACAACACCCCTTAGCTTGGATTCCACAGTTTAGATCCATTTAGCATAATGACCAGTTGTGGTTCTGCTGTCGTAAATCTAAAACTGCAGAATCCAGAGTAAAGATGGACCTTGAAGGCAGAAAGCCTTCATCTACAGTAGGTGATCGCCTCCCTGAGTGTCATCATTGCTAGCATATTCAGCAGTTCAAATTGACAGGTGTCACGGATGTTACAACAGAATCTTTTCAGAGACCTGTGGAGACTTGAAGATAGATCTTCCCACCCTAGGCCCACAAGAGCAAACACGACAGGCTTTGGGGGCGGGGGTGGGGGGATGGGAGTACAGCTGGGGCTGCTACGCAATCAATACAGTGAGAAACACCAGCCCTCAACTTAGCTCCACCATTTCCCAAAGCCAAGGATAGCATAAAATGATACACCTGATTAACCCCCTCAACACCAGTGTGCAAGGATGCCACTGAACAGAAAAATGGTCATAACTATGCATATGACAATATTACTCAATATACATGAGAGTGCATTCTGTTTATATTTCAACTATAATGTATTTCATAAGCCATAATTTAAAAATCAACATTCTTCTTTTTGATACTGAAAACTGTATAACTTCCAAGATGAAGAGTCAAATGTCCTAATAGAAAGTACTAAATAAAAATGAAAAATAATAAAAAAGCAGGATTTTTATGATATACACTCTCATAGCAAACAAATACACTGACACTCAGCTGTGAAGTTTAGTGTTTGCATAACCACTGTAAAAACATAACTCCACTTTTGAAAGAGCTGAAACTGCTCATTCTTTTACCTTGGCTGGTTCGAAACCAACATGTAAGACATATGCCTCAACAGGAACTTTAAAAGATAAAAAAGCTCATAGCATTCAAGCACCCACCCCACAACATCTAATTGTCACCCCAATTTCTACTGACCTTAAAGGCGTGCTTGCGGGTGATGTTATCTGCAGGCTGGACCACCCCGATCTGGAAGCTGAGGAGCGGGAGACTCCCCAGCACTCCTTCCTCTTTCTCGTCTGGGTACCAAAAGTCAGGGGGATCAAAACTTAGGAATCGTTATAAAAAAGAGCACTAGAACAAAAAAGTACTGAGATTCCAAGCAAACAGTGAGAAAATAATTAAAGACACGAAGTAGCCCTCATATTCACAGTTCCTTGACGCAGGAGCTTTTTCGAAGGTGTGACAATACAGATGAGGAACACAAAAAAGTCAGCAATATCTGCTGAATCCACTTGCAGATATCCATTTCAATAAACGTATGTAATCCTTATTGCAGTGGAAATGCAGAGGTAAACCAATACTATAAATACCATAAAACAGCAGGGAATCTGAAGCTGGTATAGCAAGAGCCCCCACTGCTGAGCTCTGCTCTCGTTTTCTGTGCTGTGGAAGGATAGGTCTCTGAGAGAGAGGGTGTGTGTGTGCGCGTGTGTGTGCATGTGTGGGGGTTGTGTTTGTGCTGCTGCTGCCAAGCCCGATAGGCGAGCTTAAAAAAGGAGATAGCAATCAGCCCCCTTGACTCACTGGGTTTGGAATTTAAGACCTGGCCCCAGGCCAAACGTACCTGCCTGGCCCACCAATGGGAGGCTGTGTGGCACATCACAGGTGCAGGATTCTGTTTACATGCACGCGAGCAGCAGTGCACGCGCACAGACAGGCACCACCCTACCACTGTGAAGTGAGTGCCTTACAGTATGCACCAGCTGCAGTAAAGAGCACATACACACCCAAGGCTGGGGCATGTGAAAAACAAGCTAATTGTCCAACAGTTCCACTTCAGCGTTTGGCTGCCATAAATATGCAAGGAAGATTCACAATAGAGCACGCTGCAGACTCAATGTTTCTTCTCAGTGTGTAGAGAGCAAATTTTCCAAACCCCAAGATCTCTTGTGAGGTAATGAAGACACACACTTCCACCGATTAAAGGTTTAAGTTTCAAATGAGCTGACTCTTGGGCATATGTCAGTAGCACCTATTTTTTAATCAGGAACATGTTACATAAATCATTGAAATAATTTCATTGTATTTATGATACTCTAAATGCTTAAAACAGTGTTGAATATAGGCAAATCATTATGGCAAAACTGATTCTGGAGTGTAATTAAATCTAAAAAAGTCTAACTTCTTTTAGTGGTAATAATGGCAATTTTGTGCTTTTGCTGCTGTTTATTGGTGACTTCTTCGCTATAGCAGTTGTATTTTTGATTAATAAAAGAAATCTATAGCTAGTATCAGTTGCCACATGGGGTCCTGCATTTTGGCAAAATAAAACAGTATTAAAGTTAAGAAGTTCACTCCCTGTTTCACAAGTGGATGCATATGAGGAGAGAGGGGGGATATTGTTGATCTTAGCATGTGATCACTACAAGAAAAGAATCCACAAGGCACCCAAATCCAACCTGAAAAACCGGTGAGTCCAACTTGTGAAGGGCAGACAGAGATTAAGAGAACAATGACAAGGAGTGACTTAAACCCAGACTTTCTGACCCAGGTAGAACTTTTTAGCAGACAGAATACCTAGATGAAGAGATGACCCTAAATTGAAAAATTATTTAACCATTACTTCCTTGTTATTGGATCCTTACATTAATTAAACAGAATGAAAAAGCTACCAACATATTAAAGGCACAAAAAGAGTACCAAATAATTACTATAGACTGTTAAATCTATTCAGATGACATTCTGATATGGTTTAATTGAGTTAGATATACAAACAAGGCTGCAGAGTTCCCACCTTTAAACATTCCACGCTATCTGTCAGACTTACAAGTAGGTCAAAGGTCATACTATTTGTCCAATAAGACAGAAGTGACCCTCTTCTCAAGAATTATGGCAGGGACAGTACAGGAATAGCTGTACTATGGCTTGCACAACTTGTTCAATGATTCAATCCCTTATATATACCCCCATTAGACCTAAAATTATTTCTTACTAGCTTCAGAAACAAGATTCTTTAACCAGGACAAGCCAGAGCAAGTTATAATCTTTAAAGTTTTATGTACGACAGAAACCAACTGATTTCACAAATAATCAACACCTACGTATTCACATGTTGAAGTAATGATAAAAATTGAGTGACATTTAAACATTTAAACTGCTACATAGCCACATGTCCTTTTTGTCTTACTCTATTCTGTACAATATTTTTCACTTAATTACATGGCAATAAAACTATTTTGGTGTCGTGACCCTCTAAACATAAGACATACATTTCAAACAGATCTGGTATTTACATTCTGATTTCTTAAAAAAAGAGATGTGAGAAAGACTTAGCTGTCATCATTATTATTATAGCTCTTGTTCTGTTATGAGTTTTACAACAACTCACAGGATTGGGTAAAAAAGTTGCAACACAATAATGTTAGGCAAAGTATTCTGTAAAAATCTGTAATAATTGTATAATAAACTAAAAATGCTTGAGCCTGTCTTGCATTGATCATCCAGTAATCTAAAATATTTTCAGACAAATGGTAGCAAGAATGAGGTACCACTACTGACTTGTATTCTTTAGCAAAACCTCTAAAAATACCCACTTATAATGTACTTCAGTAAATTTTCAACTTGTAAAATATAATATTATAAAGGCAATCGGTGTACTACTTTTTCTATGTAATATCTGCCAAGGATTTTTTTTAGGGTGCTTCTGTAAGCATTTCTGACAGCTGATAGAGACTATGCTGTGAAAATGGCTTCAAGTGGAGAGAAATGCCCTGGAAAGAAAAATGCTTCTGAATGTTCAGCAGACCATTCCCTGTGCCCCTGATCCTCATCTGGGGTGAATGGGCACAGCCACCTGAGAGAGCAGCTGGCTGGTGCCACCAGGCTCTCAGCCATCTAATGGAAGTCAAGAATACCCTAGTGAGAAGTGTCGTAATAACCAGAAACTGTAAATAACAGGTAAGTGCCACCATTGGAATGCACTGTTTATCAACCAGCCTTTTATTTTTGACTTTGATGCTTCCTGACATACTTGATGAGAATTGACACCTGGAGGCATGTTAATAGAGCCAGAGACAGTTGTCAGCACTCCAAATTAATGGTTCTCAAAGTCAGTGTCTGTAGATGACTTTACATTGCTCCTTTTCTGTTTGTTATTTTGTAATTTTTCATAATCCTTCCCCTATTATTGTTTTCCCACTCAAAATAGTTGTGGGGCAAATGCTTGTGGGGCAAATTTATAAAGTACCAAATATTGATTAAACATTGTCCTGATGGCTGCATGATGTATTTCTACAGCAACACGATGTTAATGAGCTTACTATGCAACTTTTAGCCTAATGATATTTTTCCCGATTAGACTATATTACCCACAATAGGGTCATTCTATATACCAGGGATCACCAACTCCAGTCCTGGAGAGCTACTATCCAGTCGGTTTTCAATCCTACCTGGCTTCTGATGAGCCACACCTGTTCTCAGGTAAATACCAGGGCCAGGTGTGGCTCATCAGAAGCCAAGTAGGATAGAAAACCTACTGGATAGTAGCTCTCCAGGACCAGAGTTGGAACACAGGATATAATATGGAGTTGGCCCACCCTTTGCATCTAAAACAGCTTTAAATCTTCTGAGAAGGCTGTCCACAAGGTTTAGGAGAGTGTCTTTTTGGCCATTCTTCCAGGAGAGCATTTGTGAGGTCAGGCACTAATGTTGGACGAGATGGCCTGGCTTGCAGTCTCTGTTCCAATTCATCCCAAAGGTGTTCCGTCGGGTTCAGATCAGGGCTCTGTGCATGCCAGACTCGCTCATCCATGTCCCCATGGACCTTGCTTTGTGCACTGGTGTGCAGTCATGTTGGAACAGAAAGAGGCCATCCCCAAACTGTTCCCACAAAGAAGGGACTGTCCAAAATGGCTTCAAATGCTGCAGCATTAAGAGTTCCTTTCACTTGAACTAAGGGGCCAAGCCCAACCCCTGAAAAACAACCCCATACCATAATCCCCTCTCCACCAAACTTTCCATTTCGCACTTCGTCCATCAGATTCCCAGAAAGAAAAAGCGTGATCCATCACTTCAGAGAACGTGTCTCCACTGCTCTAGAGTCCAGTAGTGGCGTGGTTTACACCACTGCATTGCACTTGGTGATGTAAGGCTTGGATGCAGCTGCTTGGCCATGGAAACCCATTCCATGAAGATCTCTACGCTAATCTGAAGGCCACATGAAGTTTGGAGGTCTGTAGCTATTGACTCTGCAGACAGTTGGCGACTTCTGCACACTGTGCGCCTCAGCATGTGTTGTCCACGCTCTGTGATTTTACATGGCCTACCACTTCGTGGTTGAGTTGCTGTTGTTACTAATTGCTTCCATTTTGTTATAATACCACTAATAGTTGACCATGGAATATTTAGTAGTGAGGAAATTTCATGAATGGACGTATTGCACAGGTGGCATCCTATCACGGTACCACGCTTGAATTCACTGAGCTCCTGGGAGTGACCCATTCTTTTGCAAATGTTTGTTGTTACCGACAAACATAACATTAGAATAGTTGTTGTTTCTTTCCTTTTAATTCCTTTGTGCAGAACTCACAAATTACAGACTTTGTACTAATGTCACCTTTTCTACATCTCTGCAGGAGCATTTGGTATCTGCGTATTGTATATGTGGTCAAACTGTAACAAAATAGACAACTTAAATTTCACTTAGAAAGCTGTATCACGTTATAAATTCGGGAAATCACAAACCTTCTATATTAACTCTTAAACATTAGGCTTTAGCTTCAATATCTCGAACACACTATCAGACATCTTTAGAACACTTTCGCCTTTTCAATAGAAACCAAATAAGCCTATAAACATAGTTAAATAACAACTGCATCACATTTGGCAAGAAGACGCTAATTATCCACCACGATCTCAATCAACCTTAACATAAACCACAAGCGAATTGTAACTACAATAAAATATGCTCACCACGCTGGGCTCAGGAAAGAATAAAAAAATGTAAAGCAATTTGTTATTATTAGATAGTTTAAAGTCTTATCAGCTACATGAATTGCGTGCTGTAAATCGTCTCTCTTCCGTCTCTCTCACTCAGGATCTTGTACGCTCTAAAGACACATTCTTAAAGGGGCCGAACCGAACATTTGTAGAAGCAGTCTGTCTAGGTGCTTGATTTTGTACACCTGTGGCTATGAAAGTGATTGAAACACCTGAATTCAATGATTTGCGTAAAAAGAATTTCCCCACGGGGATCAATAAAGTATCAATTATTATCTGGAAGGGTGTCTCAATACTGTTGGCAATATAGTGTATATGTACATGGTGGCGCGGGAGGTAGTGCTATCGTTCGGCAACCAGAGGGTTGCAGGTTCAAGCCCTGGTTCCTCCTGACCCCATCAAAGTGTCCTTGAGCAAGACACTGAACCCCAAATTGCTCACGGTGTGCAGGTTGGCGCCTTGCATGGCAGCCTTCGCCACTGGTGTGTGAATGTGAGTGTGGATGGGTGAATGTGAGGCATGTATTGTAAAGCGCTTTGAGTACTCGTAGGAGTAGAAAAGCGCTATATAAATGCAGTCCATTTACCATTATATATGGTAGATTTGTTCTGTTTACCCTGCATGTAGGCATACTGTACTGTTTAAAACCATATGCCAAATTAAGTGATTAAAAGTTATATGTTTATTATTTTAAATATTGACAACATGACAGAACCAGTAATAATAGGCCTAACAGTTATATTGAACTGATTAAAGCAAAATTATTGAAAAAATGTGCTTGCTGAAACACACATTAGCATATACAGTATAATAATTTAAATATTGTTAATATGACTAAATGGAATACAATAATTTAACGACATTCCAATTCTAAACCAATGTCCAGTGACGTGTGTGTGGTGTCTGGGTATGTATGCATTAATCAGAGCATTGAAGTAATGCAAAAATTACAGCAAGGAGAGAGCCTACAGAGAGATGATTGGTGCCTTATCACAGTGGTTCCGAGATAACAATTTCTGCCTCTACACCAGCAGAAACGCAAGAGATGATTGTGGAGTTTAGAAAGTTGCAAGGGGATTACTCACCTCTAATTGGAAAAAGAAAGACATTTTAGGTTCCTTGGTACACATATTGTCAATGCCCTATCTTAGTGTGACCTAACCTTGTCCTTCCACTCCAACGCAGTGGCCAACACGAAGAGGCCCTGTTTCCTGTGCAAACTGCAGAATGCCTCCTCATATCCTTACAAACTTATACAGATGCATCATAGAGCTCTCTGGTATGGCACCTGCACCATCCAAAAGGCATACAAAAGGCATTGGATCATAGATTAAGAGGCTTTACTGTTTTTTTGAACAGGCCATCAGATTGATAAATTCCATGTAGCCAGGTTACAATAACTGTTGCTGCTTAAATATTTGTCATTTATTCGCTTTTTGGTCTTGACCTTTATATTACACCTGCTGTTAGATGAACATTTTGCTGTTCATTGCCTTTACTTGGAAACATGTTTTAGACTATAATACCTTAATATTTTTACATTTAAATGTTATCTCTGTCTATGCATGAGTAATGTTTATACAAACATTGTCCTAAGTGTTTAAATATATGGCTTAATCTAATCGTCGTACACATGACATTTTGACTCTAACTTGACTTTGAAGACTTCTTCCAATGAAATCAGATCATTCACATGCAAAACCTAGCCAGAATGAACTTGGATATACAATGTATGAATGCTCCATTCATTTTCCAGTTAGTGTAACTGCAAAATAAACAAACCAAATAAGTAAGTAAGTAAACAAACAACCTAACTAACCAATTAATTAATTGATTGATACAATATACACTGTGGGTGTTTTTTTTCCTTAAAATACACTCTAACCTGTTTTATATTTAAATTCTTTGACTCAAATTCAACAAAAATTTTCATGTAGGCACAACTTATTTCTCAAATTTGTCAAAGTTGAGGCAAGGCATAGCTGACACTAGTGTCCACTGAAAGACTTCATTTGAGACTTGTTAGCCAATAATGTTCAATTATGAGAGAGGAGATGGGTGTGAAGAATAATATGACAATGAAAATGCCACATTCTGCCAACAGGGATACAATGCAACTAGCACAGCACACATAAATACAGCCCCCAAATACTACACATGCACATGAAATTGTGCTATGTATGTACAGGTGGAGAGCTCATAAACTAGCTGGCATAAGAATGTGACAGATATATGATAAGCACTAGCAGATAGATGCAGACCTGGAAGAAGCCTACTTTGTCAACTGGTTAAAGAACAGTAAAGAGAAGTCTTGAGCAGCAAATACAAAGATGTATTGACTATTCCTATTATTAATATTTAATTGGCATATTAACCTATTTACTATAAATGCATACATGTAAAAATGTGACTTGCTCCATCAACATCAGCCAGTTGTTCTGAACATTGCTGATAAAGTTTCTTACAAGAACCATTTTGTGTTTTTAACAGATATTAACAGATTGGGGTATACATTTTTATTATGCCCTCATTGTAACCATTTAAATAAAAAACTTAATACTGTAAGATGCACAAGGAAACACTTAGTTTCAATATTCATAAACTTGATTCTTAGTGACTGTTGCTAAGCATTAAATGTACTCATTTTGAAAAGAGTATCTGGGACAGTCAGGATAATAGAGGGTCAAATGTACTTTGAATGATTTGGCTGATTCTTATGTCACAAATCATATGTAGAAAAAATGCAGCAGACTGTACACCCTGTACACACAACATATAAAATGTGAATTTTATGTTTTGGTCATCATACCTTTATAATAGAAGAGACAGCGGTCTGTCAGTACAAACCATCGCTTGTTCCACTGTTTTACCCCATTGCTCGCCTAAAAATAAACAGAATATCAGACCACAACTACCCACAGAAACACTGAAATAAATATAGCACATATTCAGCTCTCTGGACTATGTATGTAATCAGCAATGTTCCCGGAAGTTCGGAGCCAAATCATACCTGCTTGTACAGCCAGCCCTGCTTGGAGACATCAGCTTTGGGGTTCCTCCGCATGGAGTTAGATCGCTTCCCAAATGTAACAGCTTTCTTGGATGACCGAGAGGCCTGAGTTGAGGGACATAATTGGATAGGATGGTTTGGTGTACACTGAGGGCATTAATACGCAAATTCACAGTTAATCTCAATGCAGAGCAGCAGACTAGGAGGGAAGCACAAATGATGTTTTAATGTAAAAGAAATAAAAATACTAAATGTTAATGATCCTATGTAAAAAGTATGGCAAACTACGGATCGAATCCTAGAGTTCTGATCAAATTTTCCCCATAAGAAATAATGGAAAACCAATTAATTGGTTCCCGTCCCCAAAAAATTACACCTAAATATGCTTTTTTTAGCATTTGAACACAAAATGAACCGGATAAAACAAGAAGAGCATATACTGTACTAAACACATCTAAGCACATTTATCAAAACAGTAATTTGTAAAGTAAGAAAATAAATGTATCCAAACAATGTGTAAAGTTAAAAAAAGACAATGTGTCCTGCCCCGATCGTGCACTCCTTCCGTGTGCCATGCCCCCTCGTTAACCTCGTGTGGGATCCCCATGTGATCAATAAAATTAATGAGAAAATAATAAGAAATCTTTATTTTTAAATGTATTTTATTATATAATTATTACTGTTACTGTCTTTCATTGTCTAAATGTATTTTTACTGCCGAAAATATATGTATTCAGCTAGTGTAAACATGCACGATGCTATTACAGCCAATGCGAGGCTGAGACTGAAGCGTTACACTTTGTTTCCACTGAGAGACGTGCCGCGTGACTCATTTCCCCGCGAATACAAGTTATCTTAGGTTGGCCTTCATGGTTTGACTTCTGAGATTCAGATCGAGTTCTAGGTAATTTTTTTTCGAACTGGTTGGTTCGACTTTTAAGAAATTTGAGTTCTAATGAGTTTGAGAACTGAAGTACCACTGTGCATGCGTATATATATATATATACATATATATATATATATGTATATATATATATGTATACTGCTAGGGATGGCACAGGTTTTTTTTCCGGTCAAATCCAATATTTATTTATTTAATTTTGAGTACCTGCTGATACCGATACCAATACCAATATTATTTTGTCTTTTCGACTACTAAGCATTAAATGAGATATTTGTATCAAGACATTTCAATTAACATAGCAAACTATCTGCATTTAGTATTTAGTTTCATTGTTTGTGTATGCTAAGAACAGGAAAATATAAGAAAAGCTGCGCCACTACGCCATAGGAAGAAATCCATGGCCAGCATTATTTGCACAAGTCTGCTTCTGTATTTTATTCAATAACAACAAAAATGAACAAAAATATTTCTTAAAGTGCAAATTCTGCAATCTGATGCCAAAAACAAAGAAATCAATTATAAAAATATCACTGTATACCCCAACTAAACATTTCTAGTCAAAAACTATACAAAATCTCCCATACAATGGAGCACAGATAAAACTTTCAAGTAGTAATTAAAAACTTAAGAACACAAATCTGAAGACATCTAGTTTATATAAAATTTTCTGTGTTCAGATTTAAGAAAAATCAGCCCTAGCCTTACATACTTGCACTCTCAGTTTTGCTTTTTTTCTTCCTTCAGCATAAAGTACAGTAAATGGATTTCCACACAGTCAATATGACAGCTCCAACGCACATGTATTGCTGAACAGCTAGCCATCCTGTGACCCTCTCTTTACGGTATGTCACACTAAGGCTACAAGCATTTTCGCGATTTTTCTGTCTAGGCCTATCTCTGATATAAAACTGGATCAGTGACTTACTACCCTGCCCCCAATATCCAATCGAGCATTTTTTGTCCGTACTGGCCTGATACCAATCATGCATAATGGATCGGAGCCATCTCTAATTATTACTGAACCCATGTCACGGGCCTGTTTAGAATATCTTAGATGATCACTCTGACTGGCTGTGTAGACTGGACCCCTGGTTTGCCATAGGAAAACTAAGAAGCACTGACCCGTCCGTTGGGCTGTGATTCCAGGGACAGATCAGTCACCATGGCGAGGCAGTTGGAGTTGACATCGCTGGTGGTGCTGGCAGGTCCTTTCCCAACCACCTTCCCATTCATGTCCAGCTGTGAGCTCCTATGCACATAAATACATAAACCACTTTGTCTTCAGAATTTATGTCAGAGTAAAGAATGCACATAATCCTGCCTAGCTTCGCTCTAAATGCAAATAAATACATAAACACCAGAAGAACACATTAACACAAACCATTCAGCTGATGGGAGGAAGCATGAGAGTGCAATGGGAAGCAGTCACCCAGGAGCTATTTTTACAATGCCTAGCAGTGGCACAAGACCACACCCCTACAGACACAAGAGAGAGTTTGGCAGGAAAAAGGGCCTCGAATAGACCAAGGCTTCTTCATGTCTGTAGTATACCTTAGTTTGTTGACTAGTTTTATTCAGTGTGGCTGGCATTGGAAGATATTATTCTATCAATGAATGTGATGGCACACCTAGACTTAAGGCGAACACACACTCACACAAATTCTTTCTGTTAAGGCGGTCAGTTAATATAGGACTTAATGAGACCTCATTTCCAGGTAAAACACACTGCCAGCAACTAAATTATTACAAGTCAACTGTAAGGATTAAACAATGTAATGGAGGTGCAGATTTCATAATCCAACCATTTATTCAGCATCCCACATGAGTTTTCAAAACACACCAACCAACTAAACTTCCTACTTCCTGCTTTCTGTTTGGTAAATAAACAGATAATGTGCCAGTATAATGATCAGTTTCTATTAAAATAATCTTACCATAAAAACAGTAAGATGCCTGGGTAAGGAAGGTATAGTACAACAATTAATAATCCTGTACTCATTCATAAACCAGCAAATACTGTAGAATTTAGTTTAAATATCTGTAATTTCTGTACCAGAGTCAAATTCCTTGTATACATGAGCATATTTGGCCAATAAAACTTGATTCTGATTGAGCATCAATTGAATGATAATAATAAATTTAATTTATACAAGGCTTCATAATCCAAAGGTGCTAACAAAATTCAATTTAAAAAAATGTAAAGAGAAGGTGTATTCCAGCCAAAAAAAAAAACTTTCAGCACACTTTCCCTAGTTGCATAGCATCCAGTCTAGGTCCTGAAAAATCATTAGGGAGGTCCTACTTACTGTGTGAATCTCTGCAGACTTTGTATTTCTTCCAAAGGACTTTCAACTATTGGGTATCCAGTTGTCCCATTTTGGTCATTCTGGCTATTGAAGAAGGGAGATAGCAATTATAAGGGGATAGGGGGAGGGAGCAGGAGCTAGAATTTCGTGGAAATAAGTAAATAAGTAAACTTCTAAGCTGTACAAACAGACCTTAATACAAAGGAGAAAATGTCATGCCATCTCAGAATCTATGGCTGAAGTGGAAGAACTACCACCTCATAATGGGAAGAAATATCTGTTCAAAAGTTGGACAGGAGGTATGATTAACTTTATTTCTTAGAGTGATCGACAATTCCAAGGCAGAAAGTTTTTTTTTTAAACTTTCTTTAAATTATTTTACATATAATTAGGACAGTTCTTAATGTATGGAATGCAAAGGAATACTATAAAAATATATTCCATGTTCTGCAATATACTTATCTTATTCCCACAACTGACCACCACTGAGGACTACAATACGACCCCTTTAAAACTTATTTAAAAAAATATTTTTGTGTTCTACATTTCTCTTCTTGTGCTTTAGCTCAGATTTCATTTTGTGACAAGGTGAAGGGTTTCTGAGATGCTTATACATGTGTTTCAATAAGCCAAACAGGGAAATATATTTTGCTATGCAAAAGAGAGCACTAAGAGAACCAGGATTTTTTACTTGCATAAAACTTTGTTTCCTGCAAGCACACCACACCATTGTCTTTCCTAAAAGCAAACTCGGAAATTTACTCACTGGCACAAATAACATTCTTTAAACACAGAAGCTAAAAGCATATATTTTTCAGATAACCAGGTGAGATAATTCTCACTCTTGCAAGTAATGTCTTTTATGAGTAACTGCAATATAATATATCAAATCTAAGCCTCCTGGAATATACCTCCTCATTTCTATTTTGGAGGGAAACGTATCAGACCAGAAGCTCATCAAGTTGGATCACTTTGGTAATAATAATAAAGGTAATTAGAACCCTCACTGGAGGTACAAGATCTAGATTTAGTACGTCTAAGCACCAGGCAGTCGCTCAAGTACCACCAAGCTCTGCAAAACCTCCTAACGCTCCCTGACAGGTAGAAGACAGGATCCTGGATGCTATCCAGGGACACTTTCCGGAAAACCATGTGCTTCTCGACCGCAAAGAAAACATACACAAGGGCCATGCGACACAGATTAAAACAAACCTTACATGGCCTTCAAATTGTTCAGAGGCTCTCACTCATGCCACAACTTGGTTTTCTAGGGTCCTGGACGTGAACATGCCTGTTCATGCGTAACCTACAAACCTACATAGCAGGAAGCTGAACAGATGTCCCCAAATAGGATCTGAGCAAAAGCTTATTGAATCATATTTGATATAAAATGAGAAGATTCATGGCCGTTTCATATTACATCATTCACAATAACAGGAGCATATGGGGGCAAAGGTCTAATTTCCCCTAACATAGCTGTATAGGCCGTGAACATTGTCTTTTTACAGTATGTACATGCACATGCTAGTTGGCCTTGCACAAATACATTTCCTATATATACAACACAATAAGAATATGCTCTCTCTCTCCTTCTGTCTATCTCTCTCTTTCTCTCTCGCTCCCCAGCACTGCATTGCAGTAATCACTGACCTGCAGCTCCTAGCACTCATCACACTGCTTCTGCCAACCAGCCCATCGCAATAAGCTTTGCCTCAATACTGTCCTCCAACACCAGAGCGGAATGTCCTACCTACCTCACTCTCCGGTCTGCACGGAACTTCAGCATTTTTCCTTGGATAAATCATATATCTCAGGGCAAGCACACAATGGGAGAGAGAGGAAAGTGAGGAAGAGGAAGGCTGCAATTAGAAGACAAGATGGCTTTTTGTGGCTGCTGTGGGGTGTTGTTAATGGTAATTGCTGTGCTGTTTTTTTCTCCTCTCCTTGAGAAGGTAAGGTACAGCCTCTCTCTCTTTCTCTCTCTCATACACACATTCACACTGTCCCTTGCCATCTCTCTCTCTCTTCCCCTTTCACACACCCTCTCTCTCTTCCCCATCTCTCATGCTTTCCTGCTTTCCAGAACTGCAGGGCTCAGCTGATTTGGTTTCTCACTCTGCCCATTTTTATTGCCCTCCCTCTAGTTCTCCTACAGAAACACTGACCCATGTGGACTGTTGTCAGCAGGTCATCTATAACACAGGAATGCAGGGGTTCATTTGCCTTTAATAATAAAAATAAATAAATGATAAAAATATCACTAGATATGGCACATTGAGCATGAATGTGTACCCTCTGCTCACTCTTTTCTTGGAAAATTACATCCATATGTCATCAGATTCAGAAGCATCAGATGCAGCCTAGTATCCCTGTTCCATAAAGCAGTAATATTTGATAATATCATCATAATCATGCGTTCAGTTTTTCCAAAACACAAATCCAACGAAGGCACCATAACTGTGAGTTTTCTCTGTATCTAATATTTTTGTTACCAGTAGTGGAGGTGTAATTGGATTAGAGTCGTTCATCACAAGATGCTGTACCAGGAAACACTATATGAATTTACATTAAACAGCAATGGCAGATAAAGCATAGCATCAGATTTGCATCAATTTATTGGGCTTAGAAAAAAGAAAAAAATCTTCATTCCAATCTCTCAATGCAGTAATATGATAATAATACTTAAACAACCTATGGATTCAGGCTGTGAATATTTCCAAGGTCAAATATGAAAAGCCATTCACATGCATATTTAATTTGTCACGTGTTTCATGTGGGCCAGTGGATATCTAATTTGATCATTTCATTTTCCCTTTATTTTCCATTTTAATTGACGTCTTTTTTTACAAATAGTCTAATTTTCTGTGTTATACAGTACTTCATTTTAATGTCGAAGCATGCTAGGTTAGCTATAAACATAGATCTACAGTTATCACTGTGCACCATCACTCAGCCTGACTACCTCTGAATCACATAAAAACTTGGTCACACACCCTTAATAGATCAGATGTGCTTGTGAATGTTTCTATATGTCTTGCAACCAGGCCTATAGAAAATAGGTTTTCTCCTTTGTCTACTTTGTACAGTATGTGTTTCAGTTGTTTATCAATGTTCACAAGAAAACTGCATTGACAACATCTGCAAGCAAATATATTTTGCAGATGGCATGTTGAGAATTCTGCTATGCCTTAGTCAAATAGTCTATATAACAGTCCCCTCATATCGGCAGGTAATATGTTCCATGGATAGCAAACCATCCATGGACCCCATATATAAAGTGATTTGTGTGTACTGACATATGGCAATTAATAAATTAGGCACAGTAAGACATTAAATACAGTGATAATAAAGTGTTTACATTATTGTACATTATTATACTATACTGTACCCTATTGAATGAAAGGAATTCTGACATTTTAGCCTAATTCTCAAAAGATGGAAGTGCAATGAAAAAAATCATGTATCAAAGGATGACAGAACAATGAAAATCCTGCTTTTTATACCCCTCAAATAATGAAGCAACAATTAAAAAACAAAGTTACACATTTTACAGTTCTTTCAGACTGCAGTAAACTATGGAAAACTGAATCTGAGGTTATGAGGAGACTGCAGTGTTTTTCTACACTATCATGTCTGTGTGTTTCTTCCATGGGTCTTCCAGTTTATATTAATTGTTTCATGAAATTTGAAAACTTACATAAGCTAATATGTTTAAAAGATAAGATTTTCTTTGAACTTGCACACATTGACTTTTGATGACAAATCCACTTCATTGTACACTGGACAGGCCCCAGCTGTATTACAACAGCCATTACTATTTGCTCTCCAAGATGTATAGAAAGTGGATCTGAGATGAAGTATGACCAAAAATACTGAGCAAAACTGCTACTACTGACATAGATTTCAAGTCTCCCGTTTTGGCCGGGAAACTACCGTATTTTACCCCTCTTTCCCGCCGTCCTCCCGTATGAGTATTGGTGTCAATATCATTAATGCAATTTATGAACAACAGTGGTCCTAAAATTGAACCCTGCGGTACCCCACTATGAACGCAGGCCCACTGTGACATTGTGCCTCTAATAACTGCTCACTGCTTCCTGTCAGTTAACCAGTTTTCGATCCAAGCTGCCACAGTTCCTAAAATCCCTGCAGCTTTGAGCTTTAGCAAGAGCCATTTGTGAGGGACAACATCAAAGGCTTTCTGGAAATCTAAGTAGATCACATCGTAGGCCTTTTTGTGATCAATTTCACTTGTAGCTTCCTCAAAGAACTCAAGTAGATTCATCAAACAGGATCTACTCCTCCTAAATCCATGTTGACTATCCCTCAGAATGTTATTTGCATCCAGGTAATCTACCATTTTCACTTGGATTATAGCTTCCATTATTTTTCCAGTAATGCTAGTTAAACTGATTGGCCTATAGTTTGCTGGATTGCTTCTATCCCCTTTTTTGAATATGGGTGTTATATTAGCATGCTTCCAATCTGAAGGTAACACACCCGCAGATAAAGATTTCTGGAATATTAAAGTTAAAGGTTGGCTAATAATATCCCCAGGGGCGGATTAAGGTGCACAGAGGCCCCTAGGCTACAGTAGTCTGTGGGCCCCCCAACCCCGCCCCCCTCCGCGCCAATGGGGGCCCCCTTACAGGCAGGCACACGTGGGGCCCCTAGGCTTAAGCCATATCTAGCCTGTGCGTTAATCCGCCCCTGAATATCCCTCATCTCTTTTAACACTATAGGTAAGATGCCATCAGGGCCCTGCGATTTATTTATTTTGAGTTTAGCTAGGCTTAGTACCACATCAGTCACAAATGCATAGAAGGAGGGTAAATCAACAGATGTTTTTCCTCTACTGAGTGACCTGATAATACGGTATTTATGGCTCTTTCTGAGAGGCTTCAAACCTCATCCTGGTTAGGGTTGTCATGGCATACAGCACAAGGCTGAGGTACACAATGCAGCTACACTCATACACTACAGGCAATATAGAAACACCAGTCAGCCTAAATGCATGTCTTTGCACTGTGTGAGGAAAGCTCTGTGTCATTAGGAGTACATGCACATTCACACACCCTGAGCAA